AGGTGTGGGGGGGAAGTGGGGGGAGTACTCGCGTAGTTTAGTCCCTATTTAGCACAAAACATCACGTGACCTCTCCCCTTCTACACATGGCGGGGCTCAGTCGTCGGTATGACACGGATGTGGCAACATAACATTGATCATGGCATGAGAGCACGTGGGGACCTATAGGAACCGCCCACAGCCACGCCTCCCGCTGTCAGTCACCCTGTCTTCTTAGTCACGCCCCCCGTTATGGTCACGCCTCCAGCTCTCTTTAGGGACAACCGGTTGCTAGGAGACAGGAACACGCTGAGCGGATCGGTGGGGGCGGCTGCAGCGAGAGGCTCTCTCGGCTGTTTCCCGTAAAGGACCGGAGAAGTTCTGCGGGGAGCGAGGGATGGTGACGGTGTTCACATAAAAGGGCGGGCTTAGGAAAAACAGCTACTACTAGAAGGGGTGGGCGGGCTTATACAAAGGAAGGCGGGGTATGAGTGAATAGAGGGCGGAGCTAAGACTGGTATTCAAATAGCAGCAGACCACGTGTTCTTGAGTCTCTGCCTCTGAGAGAGGATGCTTGGTGTCAGTGGATGGGCGAGGTGTGGTCTATGAGCGGGTCTGCACGGTGATGTGATAAGGGGGATGCTGAGGGTTGTGTCCTTAGACTGCCAGAGCTTGGGGCTGAAGAGGACACAGGGACCGGTCTAGCAGGCCAGGGGGGCGGTGGCAGCGGAACAAAGATCAGGTAAGTACATCTGAACACTGATTCCTTCCTTCAGCTAATACTAAATGTAAGAAAGGTATTAAAAGTATCTGAAAGGGCAATTCCACTTTCTCACCCTCCTGCTGGTCATACCTTTAAGTGGTAGGGCCAGCCAGTGTATGAGCACCCAACATAATGCAAATTGCAGGTGACCATGCTGACGAATAGGTGCTTTTCATTGGTCAGGTGACTGTACTGAACAATGAGTGCTCGCCCTTTGCGAGTGTTATGCTAGGTGCAAAGTATGGGGTACGGACTGTACGCCGTTCTATCGCTTCTCCAGGACCCCCGTGAGATTTCTGGGGGCGTGTGAAGGGAGTCCACAAACCTTACATACTACTGCGCACGTGCGGGTCTAGAAATGTTAGACGCATTTCCTGGCATATAATGGTAATAAAAACAAAGTAAAATCTCTAAATAATATAACAATAATAAAAAGTAATAACATGTATACTCTATCTGTGTGTGTGTGTGTGTGTGTGTGTGTGTGTGTGTATATATATTGTGCACATGCCATTTTGTGGTGCAGAGGCACATTGAGGTCATGGTGTCCATCCTCAGTGCAGTCCATAGCCGTTGCACCTGTCATACAGTGGTGAAGCAGCCGAGGATATTTACTAGTGGGTCGGTGGCATCTGATTGGGAAGATGAAGGCCTAGTTCCCCATCAGGATTGCTCCCCCGGTGAATGATAGCCAATAGACAGCCTGCTATTGGCTATGGAATCTGCCTCACCCTGCTGTCAATCACTAACCAAGGGGACCTGATAGCTAACTAGTCTCTCAGAGTTCCCCATCAGGCTCCACCCACTGTCGGCATCATTGGTTATTATGCCAGGTTCACACCCGGGCGATTCATGGCCGTGCGGCAATTGTGCACGATACAGCACGGATTGCCGCGCGGTTACGGGAGTCGCCCACCACCAACAATCGCGGTGCCATTATTTGCTAATGGCACCCCAGTCAGGCTGGGCGGAACGTGTGATTTTCCTGCAGCCATTCCGCTTGTGTAACCAAACATGGTCACAGCTACAACAGCCGCGTGTCACAAGAAAAGGTACATGTGCTTGTTTTTTTGTGATGGCCGCTCGGACGTAACCCCATATAAATCAATGGGGCCGCGCGGCAATCTCTGTGTGCAATTGCGCACGAGCGCGTGGTCCCGGACTCGCGTCCCGGATTGCACAGGTCTACACCGGCCTTCAGGAGGCTGTCGGCTATGCCGGGTGCTCTGTGCAGAGGGCGGCCGCAAAGCAGAAAAATCTTCCCTTACAGCATGCCGTCCCCTGCACTCTACACCCAACTTCCGGACACTGAGGAGAGGAAGAGATTCAAGCACTACAGCGCTCTAGTTGCATCACCCGCCCCTCCTCACTATCCTCCAATCAGAAAACTTCTTGTATTTCTTTAGAGTACAAGACATTCTGTATTCAGAACTAAGAAATGTATATCTGTAACTGGAAAACGCATATATACCAAAAAAATATACACCCGCTGGCCACTTTATTAGGTACACCTTTCTAGTACCGGGTTGGACACCCTTTTGCCTTCAGAACTGGCTTCATTCTTCGTGGCATGGATTAAACAAGGTGCTGGGAACATTCCTCAGAGAGTTTGGTCCATGTTGACCTGACAACGTAATGCAATGGGTGCAGATTGGACGGCTGCACATCTATTATGCGAATCTCCCGTTCCACCACATAGGTGCTCTATTGGATGGAGATCTGGTGACTGTGGAGGCCATTGGAGTGCAGTGACCTCATTATCATGTTCAAGAAACAAGTCTGAGGTGATTTTAGCTTTGTGACATGGCTCATTATCCTGCTGTAAGTAGCCATCAGAAGATGGGACCACTGAGGTCATAAGGAGATGGACGAGGTCAGCAACAATACTCAGGTTGGCTGTGGCATTTAAAGAATGCTCAGTTTCTGACCCGACCATCTGAATGTCGCAGCTGAAATGGAGACTCATCAGACCAGGCAACGTTTTTCCAAACTTCTATTGTCCAATCTTGGTGAGCCTGTGCGAATTGTAGCCTCCGATTCCTGTTCTTAGCTGACAGGAGTGGCACCCGGGGTGGTCTTCTGCTGTTGTAGCCCATCTGATTCAAGGTTGGACGTGTTGTGCGTTCAGAGACGGTATTCTGCAGACCTCGGATGTAACGAGGGGTTATTTGCGTTACTGTTGCCTTTCTATCATCTCCAACCAGTCTGCCCATTCTCCTCTGACCTCCACAAGGCATTTTCGTCCACACAACTGCCACTCACTCAATATTTTCTCTTTTTCGGACCATTCTCTGTAAACCCGAAAGATGGTTGTGGGTGAAAATCCCAGAAATACTCAGACCAGCCCGTCTGGCACCAACAACCACGCCACGTTCAAAGTCCCTTAAATCCCCTTTTCTTCCCCATTCTGATGCTCAGTTTGAATGTCAACAGATTGTCTTGACCACGTCTACCTAAATGCATTGAGTTGCTGACATGTGATTGGCTAAATATAAGTTGTGGTTAAGTATTTGTTTTTATTCTAATCTACTTAAAAATGTCAAATGTTTAAAATACTTAAGAAGCTTTATTGCATAAAGCTACAATATTTTTTAAATTAAATCCAACAAATATTTTTTTAGTGTATAACTTTAATAGGTTTAAAATGATAACAATTGAATAATGTCCCCTACCGAAGGCAAGCTCCTATCCCGTGCAGTTCAGGGGTAGTCCCACTAGCTCTTCTTTAAGGAACAATAAGTAAAACTATCTTGCTTTGGGTTTTTATGTCCTCCCATAAGGCTTAACTGGTGAAGCCTCCACCGTCCTAATCAGTGGCATATCCAGGGTATGCTACATGCCCTGGGCGCCACTCAGTGGGTCAGCGAAGGTTCACCAACCCATGGAGAGAGCTTTTTTTTCTACCCCCACCACCAAGCGGGGAAATGTGTATGGTCCATACACATCTCCCCGCTGGGCAGCTGGCAACATAGGATGCTCTGGCAGATGTTCTGGCGAGCTCCTGACAACATATAATGTTACTGGTGGCCAGGAGCAGGGCGGGACACCATAGGAGCATTTCTTTGCAGATATGACTCTGCTCTTACTGCAAAACAATTTTCAGTTTAATTTCTCCCTCATTGTTCCCAGAATGGCGTCTGCTGCTCTAGAAGAGGAGCTGAGCTGCTCCATCTGCCTGAACCTTTATACGGAGCCGGTGTTCCTGTGGTGTGGACACAACTTCTGCCAGGACTGCATTGTGACTGCTCTGGATACACAGGAGGGGTCTGGAGTTTATACCTGTCCGGAGTGCAGAGAGGAGTCTGTGGAACGTCCTACCCTGGTGAAGAACAGGAAGCTGAGTAATATCATGGAAAATTTTAGATCTACACAACCAAAAGAGGAGAAAAGTGAGATCTTCTGTACGTATTGTGTGGATTCTCCAGCAGCAGCCATTAAGACTTGTGTGCACTGTGAGACCTCTATGTGTGATAACCCCCTGACAGCCCACAACAAGACAGTGGACCATGTGTTGATGGAACCCACCACATCCTTCAGTAGTAAAAAATGTTCCATCCACAAGAAGCTTCTGGAGTATTACTGCTCCGAGGACGCTGTCTGCCTATGTGTGTCCTGCTGTCTGGTGGGGAAACATAAAGGGCATGAAGTGGAACTTCTGGAAGAGGCTTTTAAGAAGAAGAAGGAGAAGCTGAAAGGTGTCCTAGAAAAACTAACTATGAAGAGAGAGGCAACTGAGCAGAACATTCAAGATCTACAGGACCACAAGAGGGAAGTCCAAACAAAAGAAGGTGATGAGAAGAAGAGAGTCAGCGCCCTGTTTGAGGATTTCAGGAGACAGCTGGAGGTCCAGGAACAGAGAGTCCTGAGTGAGATCTCCAGGCAGGAAGAGGAAGTCTCACTGTCAGTCATTGATCTTACCAAACAGTTGGAGACGCAGAAGGATGAGTTGTCCCAGAAAATTTGTGACATTGAGAAGATATGTAACATGACCGACCCAATAACTGTCCTACAAGATGAGGAATCGTATACTGAGGAAGTCCTACAAGATCAGGTCTCAGATTCTGATGAAGTCCTACAAGATCCGGGATCACACACAGGTGGCCGGAATGTGGAGGGATCTTCTGTGCGTGATCTGGATGATTTCATGATCTCACTTGTGTTGCACAGATCTATAACGGCTCTTATCACTAACATGCAATTAAAAAGCAACTTCTGTATCCAGGATTCACCGGATCTGCTACTGGATGAAAAGACTGCCCATATATCTGTGACTTTATCTGATGACCTGAGAACAGCGTCCTACTCTGAAATATATCAGGAAAGACCAGAATTACCAGAGAGATTTGCAGAATACTATCAGGGGATGAGTATGGAGAGCTTTTCCAATGGGAGACATTACTGGGAAGTAGAGGTCAGTGACTGTGGGGACTGGGATGTGGGTGTTTGCTATCCCAGTATAGAGAGAGAAGGAGATGAGTCTGGTATTGGGCGTAATAACAAGTCCTGGAGTTTCTGTATATATGATAACAGTTATAAAGCTATGCATGACTGTCAATCACAGAAGGTAAACGTTGAGTCTTCTGTGCAGAGATTGGGAGTATATCTGGATTATGAAGCTGGCCGTCTGTCCTACTACCAGCT